TTTGTGGGACTTGAAAGGACCTGGCCCTATTTGGGAAGGGAAATCCAGTGTGGGCTGGATTTCCACTGCCTGTCAGTCTGCCTAGTGACAAAAATAGTTTATATGGGCAAGTGGCTCTGGCCTGTGTCAATCAAAGCATTAATTGTCAAGCTGTTTACATACCATTTCTTTGTTTAAAGGTGCTGGGTGTAAGGGGATCAGTGCAATATTATTAAAAGGAGTTCTTGAAATAAATAATTCTAGGATTAGTCAGCACCCTACTCCTCGGACGCAAAACGCTGAAACACACTGGCATCTGGCTGTTTTAAGATGGGGCTGCTTAGGATAATCCGAAGAGGAGAACAATAGCTTAAAGAGGACCAGAGATGGTGTATTCTTGAGTTTGAAAACCTTAATGGTACTTCCTTTTGTTCTTTTCTTACTCCCCTCAGGTAGCACTGGATGAAAGAATGGGGCTATGTGAGTTTCACTGATTAATTATAAGTTAGAGCTCAGTATTTGCTTTGGATTTATAAGATTATAGGGCTTGTCTGTACTTGCTATTGTTCTGAAATACCTGCTTGGTTTTAATTTCACAGCTTGGTTTAATAACAACTTTCATTTGTGTGATATATCCTCTCACTAGAAACCTGTGCTGCTCTGCTCCCAGGCACTGCCCTGTGTGTTCTGCTTCTGTTCCACCACAGTGAGCTGGGAACCACGTGGCCTTTCCTCTTGCTGCAGTGGTTACTGCTATAGCAACAGCTGCTGTCTTCTTTCATGTCTTCAGACAGAAAAGAATTTCTCATCTTTCTGAGCAAGTCCTGCTACTCTGCTGGTAAGGAATGCAAGGCCCTTAGGAATTCAAGCGGGAGAGAGTACCAGCTAAGCTCTCAGTCTGTCCCTTCCCCCTTTTTCCCCAGTTTGAGCTGGAGATGTCTTCAGTCACTTTTGAAAGGGAAGACTTAAGACTAACTGACTATGGCATCAAATTAGCTCACAATCTCTTCTGCTAATGCAAGATTGAGTGTCCTTGATCTGGAAGCTTGATGATTTATGATTCAAATGTGGAAATAATTTGGTAGCATGGTAATTACATGACAGAAAGCAATAACTATAATTATTGTGTGGTCGGAAGAGAGGGAATTACTTTGCAAGGACTCTTTAATTAATGTAATGACGTAATAACACCTACTGATAGTGAATTTTGTTCAACCTCACACAACTGTCTCATGCTTTATAATCATTTTAGCCAATGCTGCAGTATATGGGTGGTGGGGTTTTTGGAGTTTCTTTTTGTTTGGGAGTATTTTTATTATTTTTGCTTTATTTTGGAGGATTTTTACTTCTAAGGCTTCTGTATAAAGTTAATGTTCCCTACTCTAAAACCAGCAGAAAAATCCTTGGCCCCAGTGCTACCAATGCAGCCTGCCAGCTCTCAGAGAAAACCCATTTGTAGTAAAATGTAGTTCTCCATAGCATTGAGGGTTACCTTTTATTCTCCATACAAAGCACAATGGCGTCATCTGAGCAAGGACAGCAGAGCAGAGAATTGGGTGGGGAAAGTCTCAGTAAGTTTAGAGACAGGGGAGGCAGTAAAAAAAGGAGAGTTTTCTCCTTGGGACACAGACAGGTTTTGACATGGAAATAAAGTGCTTAGAAAATACAGTCCTAGACTAGGACAGACCAGTCTTATAATCACTCCAGTGTTTTCCCTGAGTTCTAGCATGAATGCTAATACAAACTCTGTTATGGTCAAACTAATATGTAGAGCATCAAACTCATCAAACTACCAAATGCATTTACTTCAACTGTATGTGTTTCCAGTGTACACGAATCTGTATTACACTGGTATGGATGCAGACACAAGTAATTTCTTTACATTCCAGTTCTAAGAATGTGAAGGCACTTAAAAAGATCAGGAATAAAAAGATGAGATAGAAACAAGTCATAAAATAACCTATTAGAGTAGTATGTTCATATCCCTTAGTCCCAAGCCCTTAATGAACACAATGTTTCTTCATGCTCACGTGACAGACTTCAAAGTTATTACCAGAATATAAAACAGTAATACAGGAAATATTCACAAGCACAGTTACCAGCTCTCTTAGGTTTTCAGTCTGTGTCTCACAGGGTGCCTTGGTCCTGTCTGCATTGGGGAAGAAGAGTGCTCGCTGCCTGATGCAATATGACTGCAGTTCTGCTTCTGCAGAGCTGGACTCTTTCTGCTGCCAACTTACACAAAGGCTAAAAAGTTTGTTCTGATTAAGCAAGATATTGCTGCAAGTTTTACAATCTCTATAAAGTAGAAAGGCAATCAATGAGGCAATTTCTTTATTAAATTAATTGTGGAGAAATCTGTCCCTCCCTGCCCAATCCCTTTCTGCCTTTGCAGATCTAATACCTACTAGTGCACTGCATTTAGGCACTGTGGTAACCACTTAAAAAGAACCAGTGTCCATTGAATCAACTCAATAGCAGCCAGAAGGCAGAAATATTGGTTTTCTGGATAACCTGCTCTGAGTGTCATCACTGGGGTCCTGCTCCTTCCAGATCATTGCCTCTCTTTATCACATGGCCTAAGCCTGACCATAATATTGCTTTCTTCTTTTCCTACTCTTCATCTTTTCCCTGTCTTCCCACCTTCTTTAATAGCAGGTTTCGAGTAACTATGGCAACAAGGCTAGGAATTTTACACTTATTCATTTTGTCTGAAATCTGGGTCATGTCTTTCTCATTAAGTGAAACTTGTATGGAGATAACTGGTCCAAACCCAGCCTTTGGTGCAAGAGAAGGCAATGTCAGTTATGGCAGCACTTACCTAGTGGCTATATTTGGTCCATTGTGTTAGGAAAATGTAAAAGTACAAAGTAAGCCACTTAAAATTTGGAAAGTATTTAATAATTTTGAAAGCATTTAGTACATAACTTAGTCAGAGGAGAATCACTGCTGTAACTTGCTCTAATTGATGTTGACTTATAGGATGATGGGAATAATTTCATAATTGTGTTTCTAGTCCTAAAGTATGTGTTAACTAAAGGAGTGCCTTCTCAGAGTGGTATCGAGTGATGTAAATTGTATCAGTATCCTTTTTCAAGAGGAATTGTGGTAGTGTGAAACCTTAAAGGTGTCTTCTGACAGGACATGATATTAATCTCCTCTAATCTGTCACTGCAGTTGGGCTCTGACTGGATCTGAGATCACAGTTTCAGGACAGAAAGATTTCCAGATTTTAACTTGTTTCAGTGCTAAGGGAGTAGCAAGATTATCTCAAATGTTCCTATCTTGAAGATTTGGACATACCACATCTCCTCGCACCTAGGATGACTTAAAATCCTTAAACAATTGCTATGTTTGTTCATGGGGAAGCCATGCAAAGCAACGATTACAAGGTGCACTTGATTCTATGGGTCATCTGCAAGCAAAGCAGAAAGCCAGCAGTGTGATCAGTAACCTATCCATTACTTTGTGTGTCTTATACTGTAATTTGGTAAACATCAGCATCAGCTCTCAGCCAGATTATTGTTAGTAACAGGAAAGGTTCAAACATTTGGCAGGGTATCCAGTAGTGTATCAGCTAACCCAAGCATCTGCACTACCTGATCTGAGTGTATGATGCCACACACAGAACAGCTCACAAGGCTGTTTGGTACTTCATTGCACATGTGTTGTTTTGGCCACAGTAAGCCAATAAAGGCTTTCACCTTTCCCTCCAAAGCTTTGCAATAGCTCAGAGTGTTCTGTGAATCACACACACACCTGACTACTACCAGGTACCTGCCAAGCATACTGGGTAGTAGCTCATCTGTAGCTGGTTTTTGTATGCTTCAGTTTTCTAGATCAGAGACCTATGAGAGGTTAATTTGTGTCCCTAGAGAAGTGATGACTGCATCTGGAAAGGTTTGAGTCACAGCAGAAACAATTACCATGAAGCTGGATGAAGCCACTGTGTGGCTTGTGACTTAGTCTTGATCTGCAGACAAATTAGAAGAGATGGGTTTCCCGAAATGAGGTGTAAGAAAAAAGATATCTTATTCAGCTATTGCTTCCTTGTTTTTTCATCACCACTACCTGTCATTGTCAGCAATGCAGGCTTGTTGGAATATGTTCACAGTTGAATTTTCAGAAGCACAGGATCTCTTCAAAAATACGAAGGGCATTCATTCCCCACTGTTAAGCTCCGTTCCCTTCAGAGGCCTGCAGAAGCTGCTGCTTTGTGTGATGTGAGCTGTTTGCACCACACACCAGAATTGAGGTGGAGTGTCATTAGGTGGATGGGAACTTACCTATTAGGCAAGTCCCCAAAGCAGCTCTACATTTTGTTTTCTACCATGCTCCCAGTAGGTCTCTGTAGGACCTCTTGTTTAAGATTTTTTATAACCCCTGATATTAACCTTTCAGCAGTATTCATTCAAATATCCCACTTCCAAAGGCAAAGAACACAAGGGTAGGGAGGAATACAGGAAATTAGAGCCCTACGTTATGATCAGAGCAATCACAGAACAGGATCGCATCCAGATGGTTCCTGGACACATCCACTGAGGGAGACTACACAACCTCTCGGGACAATCTGTTCCAGTGCTAGGTCGCCTGCATAGTAGAGACGTTCTCGCCCATATTCAACTGGAATTTCCTGCGCATCATTTGAAGAGCCAGGCTCTGCTCGGTGGTGCCAAGCAATAGGACCCCAGGCAACGGGCAGAAACTGATGCTAAGGAAATTCCGCCTGTACAAGGTATCCCAGCATCAGCGTGTCCCAACGCGGTTCTACCGGGGCCCTGCGCACCCGCTGTGTTCTGTTGTTCTATGTCCTATGCTCATCGCGCTCATGCAAATCACGCTGCCGTGCGAAGGTCTATTCCGCGGGCGGCGATGAAGGCGGGGTCGGGCTGAAGAAGCCCTTCCTTCCTCCCGCCCGGTGCCTCCAGCCGGGGCCGCACCGCCTCTCTCCGCCGCACCGCGACACGGCCGGCACTGCGCAGCCGCGGCCCCGCCACCGCCCCGGGGCCCGCGTCACTTCCCGCCTGGGCCGGCGGAGCGCGGCCCGGTCCCGCCCCGTCCCGGCCCCCGGCGCGGCCCTGCCCTGCGAGGGCCGGCATGGAGAAGCTGCGGCGGGTGCTGGCCGGGCAGGACGATGAGGAGCAGGGACTGACGGCGCAGGTACGGCCGGGTGAGAGCCCGCTCTCCCTTCTCCTCCCCGGCGCGGGGCCGCGCGGGTCGACGGCGCTGGAGCCGCACCGGGCCGGGCCCGGGGTCTGTGGCCGCCGTGCTCCCCCCGCCGCCTTCCCCCGTGCCCGGCCTGCGCACACGCTCCCCCCGCTTCCCGGTGCCTGCCCGAGCGGGGCTGAGCTGGGCAGGCATCGGCAGGCAAAGGACAGACCGAAGTTTGCGGCGTGCCACGGGCGGTGCGGGCAGCAGGCTCTGCCCGGAGGATGGGTTTTGGCAGTTACTCATGTGTGAAGCTTTTGGCTGTGTTGGTGGTGGCTTGGGGTCCTTCGGTTTCTACAAGTTTTTCTTGTGCTTAAGCAGGGGCATACTGTGCCCCCTTCCAACCCAACTAAGTCTGCTATTCAGAGTAATTTGCTTCTCCATTCCTGCATGCCCTTAAATTTGCAGAAACAAAGGTTTTGTCTCTATTCTGCTGAAGTTACCTTTTGCCCCTTACTCCTTAAGTATGGCTTAATTGTTGTATTTCCTTCCCACTACCTTCCTCATCGCCAGCGGGGTTTTTTTTGTTTCGTTTTTACTGTGTTTGCAGACCATACATTCCTGAGAGCTAATCTCTAGGTTCAAGCAAAGCTGAGCATGCTTACAAAGAACCATTTATTCCTTTAGCTCCCTCTTAACTCATGTGACTGCAGGTCAAAGTGCCCCACATCGAGGAATATCTTGCTCGCAACTTGCAAGGTGCTGGAGCATGGAGGAGGAGGCTGGAATGTAGCTGGGATCTGAGCTGTGGCTGACAAACCTCGGGGAACCAGCACAAACTGAGCATAGCTGGGGTGATATTAGTTCTGCAGTTTGCTGCTGGCATGCTTCACTTGGTTTTGCACCGAGTTGCCATTTGTCTTCAAGGTTCGTGATTTTGGCTTCTGCCGCAGCAAAGCACCTAAATTGTGTCCACTGATTCTGGAAGCAGTGTAAAATCTTTGCCCTTTCACACCAGAACTGGCTGCCAGCATTTGGGAGGGGTGCTTCACCTTCTGCTCTTCTCAGGATTATCAAAGAAATACATTTCTGTTAATCTCAGTTCAGTTCCAAGAGAATTGATTGTTCTGTCATCACCAGGCACATTTCACACAAGGCACATGTGTGCCTTAGTGTGACATAGTGACAGAGTTTCACTTGGTGCTGTGATAATTGTTTTAAAGCGGCAATCAGTACATAAATGCCTACATATTTAATGCTTTTTTATTTGAGTTTTATATCCTGAGGAGAGAACTCAGCTAAGAATGTGTTTAGTTTATTAAAAGTCAGAAATTAAACTCTGTAGGATTTCACTATTGCATGTAATGATACTGTTACAGCCAGAAAAGACTTTAAATAAGAAAAATCTGCCTATCCTTAAAGCCTGTCTGGTACATAATAGAAGAAAACTTATAAATGTGTCTTTGGAGTGTCATGCTGAGATGAACCAGAAAGATCTTTAAAATAAATAACTACCCCTTGACTTAAAAAAAAAACAGACCTCAAGTGTTTAGGTCAGGCAGTTTCTCAGCTGTATTTTTTCTCTCAAGGTACCAATGTGTTTGCAGAACAGTGGAAATCAAGCCTCTTTTTAGAGAGGAAATTCATATGTGACCTTCACTAAAGCTAGAGCTGTGTGGTGCTGACTATTTTTAAAGTGTGTGTATTAGAGCAAAAAAAGTATGTGCACCCATGCAGAGAGGAACACTTGGTAAGAGGTGGGGCTGTGAAACAGTGTGAGGTTATGCACTGTGTGTGTAAAATCTTCAGCTGTTTCCATGATCTTTCTGGAGACAGGTCATGTGTTTGGCTGAAAACAAAGGCCCTCTCTTTGGAATATCTGATAATTGTGTAATAGCCATCATATGGTTCATGTCCATAGATATTTCTGGATTCTTTCCCTTGGTTTTTGCAGAACCGTTATCATGCAGTCACAAGTCATTCCTGCTAAGTAGAATACAAGTCTATAATGAAAGAACTGTGTGATGATTCAGTGAAGTCTTTCTGTACTTCCTAAACTCTTCAGATGACCAGCTGTTGTTTCTTGCTGCAATTAGATCCATTATTCTAAATATATTTAAAAAAAAAAGGAATTAATTACTAAAAAGATCGATAATAAATGTAGCAGTGTGATGATGATGATGATGTTTTCAGGGCAGCTGTTTAGTTTTATCAACACCAAAACTAATGTAAAAGCAGTCTGTGTGACACATTGGATGTTGCATGAAATCTGACAGCTGCTTAAAGCACTCAATAAGATTTCAACAGAGGAATAGACCAGGTATTTCTTATATTTTTATAAGAAATTGTATATTGCATTTCTTATATTACATTTCTTATATTTAATTTCTTATTTACACTTCTTGTATTTTCATCTCAGCTGGTGATAGAAATATATATAAGGAGGCCTGTTAGGGAAAGATGAAAATATATCACTATAAATATTGTTTCACTGTGGTTTAGAAACTGAATTCTGCAAATTTACTCAACGTTTCTTTGCATTTTCTCCATTACTTGCATATTTACCATTGAGAGAAGATGTAATTGTTAACTTCTAGATTAGTAAAATAAAGTGATTCTGTTTTTCTGTTTACCCATGTGAAAAACTGTTATAAGATCAGTAATATATGGAGAGAGCCTAGGTGGATGCTCAGAGCCACAAGAACTACTTATTTTTGATCAAAAGTAGCCTTGGGGATTATCATTCATACTGTTTATTGTGTGTCTGTTGTAAACTCTTCAGCAGTGATGCTGTTATTGCAGGCCTGTTCCTTATGTTTCAGAAAGTCTCCATTCCAGGTTCCGGTTTCCACTTGATGTTTCCTCCTGATTCTTGGAAGTCTTGGTCATTTCTTTCCTATACTATTAGCTTGAAATAGCCTGTGAATGAAAAGCTTCTTGCCCAGCAGTTTGGCATTAAAGCTTAGCAATAGAAAACTAAGGATTTCCTTTTGTTGATTTCAGTTTAATTTTTCTTTTTCTTCTTAGAAACAAGTTGATAAGCAGTGTAGCAAGAAGGGTTATGTTTTACAGGAGCTCCCTTGCCACCACTGCTGTTCTTCACACAAACTACAGATGTGGAACATGCCTGGAAGTTATTTCAGCCTCCTAAGGAAAAGCTTTTGCTTATGCAAATACTATAGACTGCAGTGACAACTCTTTTTATCTGAAATCTGGGATTAGCTGTATAATTTGTGTTAGACACAGTAAAAGAATCTTTAGCACCTTTGCGTTGTTTCCTGCTTTTGTTGCAAGGGCAGTTTAGACTTCCTTTTTCTTAGGGTTCATAGTCTCTGTTAGCTCAGGGTGTCCCATGGTCCCTGGTATAGAAATTGCTGCCTGCAGCACGTGTGGCAGGGCTCCTGCACTGTCCGGTCCTCAGCTCCTAGAGTGAGCCTGGCACTGGAGCTCCATCTGGTGTCTGTGGTTAACACAGCTGAACTGTGTATCTGCAACTCAGCTTTTGCAGCAAGTTCTTCTCTGCAGCAGTGAAAAGAGGTGGCTTGGAAAGGCAGTGAGTTCCATTGCTTCCGTGAAACCCAAAAATAGAAATTGTAGAATATCCTGACTTGGAAGGGACCCACAAGGACCATTGAGTGCAGCTCCTGGCTCTGCACAGCACCATCCCCAAGAGTCACATCCTGTGCCTGAGAGCATTGTCCAAATGCTTCCTGAGCTCTCTCGGGTTTGTGACCACTTCCCTTGGAGCCTGTTCCAGTGCCCAGCCACCTTCTGGGGGAAAAGCCTTTTTCTAATACCCAGCCTAAACCTCCTTTCACAGCTTCAGCTGTTCCCTCATGTCATGTCTCTGGTCACCACAGATAAGTGGTCAGTGTCTGCCGCTCTGCTTCCTCTCATGAGGAAGCTGCAGACTGCAGTGAGGCCTCCCCTCAGTCCCCTGAGGTATCAGGGACTAAGAAAATGCATTACCACATCCCCCGTTTCAGGATTTCAAACACTGTGTTAAATAGGTTCATCTTGACAACATAAATGGTGATATCATTGGGAGTGGTTGGAAGGATGAACCTTCACTTTAATACCATTTAACGTATTTAGTCTTATTATTACACAGAATGCATTGGCAGCCCTCATGCCAAGCTTATCTTCCTGTACTTTATGTACGTATATTGTCAGTCAGTTTTTAAGAATTAAATCCATAAAATGCATCAAACTTCTTGGGGTTTGTGGTGTTTTTTGCTCCAAGCCTTTGTGTGGTTCTCTTATTTCTTGTGCTGTTTGTTTGTTTGTTTGTTTGTTTGTTTTCACCTCTTAACTGTTAGGGATTTAACTGAAGATAAAGCTGTTTTCAAGTTTATTTGAAGAATGAAGTCTCCTGGTAGTCACTTCAGGAGCACTGTCAGATAATAAGATTAGAAGTAGAAGAGCAGTAAGTGGCAGCAATGTCCTGATGCACCTGACTAAAGGATTTATCTTCATCCATTCCCTGTTTTCTAGACAATCTGAAATGTGTGTGCTGGGGTTACTGATATTATTGGCCTATCTACACTTCATTTCTGAACACAGATGGAAAGGATTTTTACTCTTTATTTTTGTGTGTATGTGTGCTTGTGATTAGTTGTATGAATAGGTGTAACTAAAAGTATGATTGAAATGGGTATCTTCAGCTGTTCCTACTCTTCTTAAAAATGCAGGCATTCAGGACTCTGTCAAATATGATTTAAAATACTAAACCATCGTTCAGTTACTTTTTTTTGTCTGTTTCTTTAACGCATACATAAGGATAAAGTGTTGGACCTAGCAAGGTAAGCTACATCTTCTGACCTTTGGGAAGTTCTGTCATCACAGCACCTTTGTGTGTGTGTGCATGTTGCAGTTTTTTACTAAACTAGGTACAGATTCCTCATTTGTATAGATGTGAAATTGTTCTAAGCAGTAACCAGGTTTCCTTGGTTAGCTTACCACTGCCTGAAAGAGAAATTTTTCAGGAGATAAGGAGGAATATCAGACTCATTGGCTGGGGAAAGTATATGATGTATATTTGGTTAATAAGTCTTGATTAATATATCTGTTGACTAAATAACAGGAGAGCAAGTTTGCCTGTGACATCTGAACAAATAGGAAAGTTGTTTATTTAAAGTAATTTTATGTAAGCTGAAGCAACACTTCACTTAATAGGCCAGTTTAGAACAGAAAGTACATTTAATTGTAGTGACCTGGAGCAAGATGAAATGCATTGTTCTCACAGTGAGGGTGGAGATGAGCTGAGCCTATCTAACAAATCACTTCTGCTGAAAGGGGCCTTTCTGCCAGCTACATGGCCCTGCCTCTTTCCTTACATCAGCTTTTCTGACAGCTTGCAGAGATGGCTTGGCTCATTAGCCAAGTCATCAGAATAGAAGGAACACTAATTCTGTTCTCATGTCAGGAGTTGTGTCAGGCAGCTCAGCTCATTAGGTCCTGGAGTCACTCTGCAGAAGCAGGAAGTGAAATATTCCCTTTCAGCAAGCTAGCTTAGTCTGATGAGACAAACTGTGTTAATTTGCCTACACCTTCAGGAAGGTAATTGGAAGAGAAATTGGAGTTGTAATGCTTGCAGTGGATACTGGCATTAATTTTTACAAGGAATCCTCTCTAGTAACAGGAAAAGGTGGTAATGTCTATAGGAACCTACAGTGTTGCACAAATTAATTCATTCCTTTGCAAATTGCTGGAAGGTCCATTCATTCTTTTGATTTGGTACAATTGTGACTATTTTCAGTTATGTGGTGATTAAAAAAACCTGTTTGAAAATGAAGTAGTGTTGCCTGCATGCCAGGATGTACCTTTATGGGTTGTCTTTTTTGTTTGTTTGTAAATATGTTTCCATATGTTCCAGATTGATAATATGATTTTTGTGATATGAAAGAATTAATACAAAAATAACTGTTAAACAAGGTAAAATAATTACTTCTGGCTAAAAATTATTTTGTTTGAAATTAAGGGCTTCAGTGGTACATAAAAAATTGTCCTTTAGATTGTTCTAAACTGGGTATGTAATATCCTCTTTTTCCGCTCTTGTTATGAAGGTCCTTGATGCCTCAACACTCAGCTTTGGAACTCGAGTCAGATGGTTTGCCATATGCTTTGTTGCTGGCATTTTATGTTCTTTTCTTGTAAGTAAGGTTATTTTTTTTCCTTGGGCTTTTTTATTGTTTTACAGTTAAGCCTCATTAATATTCCTCTTTTATGTGTGAGTCTGTGTTTGCTTTATCCTGCATTCTATATTTTGCGTGCTTTTATTTAGCTGGACATTAAATGTATAATTGGCTGTTGATCTCTAAATTATGATTTTGGTCATTTTTTTTCCAATTAGGAAGAAGTGAGCATTTTTACTGTAGCATAATACATTTTCTTACTAAAAGGTTTGAACACTGACAAAATATGCTCTACTTTTGTAACTGGTGTATTAGGAAAGAGGTGTGTACCCATCTTATTTTTTTTCTCTCCAATAAAAGGAAAAGAGGTGGGGGAAGCTTGAAAGGTTTTTAAAGGCTGGAGAAACCACAAGTGTAGCATGTCATACTCACATCAGTGGGTGTGGTTGTGTGTTGACACTTGAAAAACCTGCTGCTGCACTCTTGGTGGTTTTACAGTGAGCAAATAATGTGTTCATTCCTGAACTTTAGGGGCTGGCAGGAGTCTGCAGCCTGCACTTAAGAGCTGAGACCTATTAATTGCTGGGCTCTGTCAAAATCTGACACAGGTAATTTGCACAAGAAGGCAGTTTTTCAGCTGCATGGAAACTCCCAGAAACAGCTGAAAAAACATTGGGGAAGTCCTCTTCTTTTCCTCCTTCTCTGTTTTCCCTCCTCTCCCTTTTCCTTCCCCTCCCTTCCTCCCTCTTTTCCTTTCTTTTCACCACAGATTTCTACTGAAATTGCAATTGAGTTAGAATGCTGTTGCTTTCTTGTTTGGTTGGGTTTTTTCAGAGGCAGTGTGCAGACCACAGTTTGTTTTGCTTCTAGTGGAGGCTTTCTTTAGGCTCTGACAGGCTGAGAAAGTTGGGACTGTACAGCCTGGAGAAGAGAATGTTGTGTTGAAACCTCATAGCAGCCTTCCAGTTTCTAAAGGGGGTCTGCAGGGAAGCCAGGAAGGGGATCTTTGTTAGGAACTGTGGTGATAGGACAGGAGTAATTGAGAACAGAATTTAGGTTAGATGTAAGACAATTTAGGTTAGATGTAAGGAAGAAATTCTTTATTGTGAGGCACTAGAACAGGTTGTCCAGAGAAGCTGTGGATGCCCCATCCCTGGCACTGTTCAAAGCCAAGCTGAATGGGGCTTTGAGCAGCCTGGTCTAGTGGGAGGTTGTATCTAGGTGATCTTTCAGGTCCCATTCCTATGATTCCTTTTCTCCCTGATCATCATAGGGAGCTGTGATAGCAGAAGGCTTCAGATTTTTTTAAGTTCAGTGAAAAGAAGAGATATCTGGAAGAGTTCTAAAATGTTTCTGTTCAGCCTCAGTGTGTATTTAAGCTGCAAGTCTAAATGGTTGATTGGAGGAGAAGGGAGATGGTGAATATTAGCGCAGCTTTATGACATTTTAACTTGTGTGCAGAGGTGTAGGATGTACAGTGGGGCATTGTAAAAAAAGTGGAAGTGTTCTGAAATAGGATATAAGCAGTACAAATAAATGTGTTTAGCAATATAAATAAACTGCCTAGTTGTAAAAATATCCAGAAATCCAGTGAAGCAACACATTGTTTGCCAGCAGGTGGCAATAGAAGTGTGCTGCGGAGTGATTGCTGCAACTGTGAGAACAGCGTGCTCTGCTAGTGTATACCAGAATTATGTTCTTCTTGTAGTATGAAATTGTATTTATAGACTATAAAATCTAAATAAATTGAATTAACTAATTGCGAACTTGCCAATAATCTTTTATAGGGAACAGCATTGCTATGGCTCCCAAAGGGGATCAAACTTTTTGCAGTGTTCTACACCCTGGGAAATATTGCTGCTCTCGCCAGGTATGATTTCTTATTTGTTTTAGAAAAGTACCCTCCTTTTCAGCTACATTTCCATTTGCTTTTACTCTAGAGTGCTATGTTATGTGTAAACAACATTGTTTTATATGGAATGCTAATAACGAAAACTTGTTTGTTTTACAGTTTTGTTGTTTATCAGTTACCTTACACAACTGTTTGTGGGCACATCCCAGCTGGTATCTGGAGTATGAATAACCAATTGCTAGCTAAATGTTTTGTACTTTTTACATCCAAGTCCTTCTGTCAGGTGCAGAAGTACCCCAGGCTCAGGAGCAAACTGGTAGTCTGCCCTCTGTGTGGATACTTTGTTACTGGAAGGAGCTTTTTGCTTTTAACAGAGAGATCATCCTGTTTCCAAGAAAACTTTCAAAAAGGAAACATTCAGGAAATCCTTGTTTTGACTGTAAGGCTGAAAGCAGAATCTAACATTTGCTCGTAGTGTATTTTTAAACTCTCTGATTCTTTGAAATGTTCCACAGAGCAGTCCTAAAAGATTTGCCTCTAAAAGAGGCCCTCTTAAGATTGAAAACTTTGCTTTCACAGTTTGAAAGACACATAAGAAACATAATGTCCCTAAGGTATTTTCAATTTCTATTTTTCCTCCTTCTCTTATTATCTTAGTGTAGTCGAGGCTTGGTCATAGGACTCACACTCTAAGTCTGGTCTTGACTTTCATGGACTCTGACTTTAGTCAAGTAACTTAACTTTTGAGTCAAAGCATTGTTAATCTGTTAGAACTCACGTAATATGACATTAACATTTGAGAAATGTGAAGGTACTGCTTTTCCCCAACAAATACGTTTGGAGACAATAATATCTATACTGACATTGAGTCTCAATTGTAGAACTATTCCATCTCTTACTAAAACAAGACAAAACGTGAATGCTGGAGATAGGAAAGTTAAGTTTTTGCCTTTCTCTCCCTTAGCTTACTCTTTATTCTTTGGTTTTGGTTTGGGGTGAGTTTTTTTGGTTGTGTTGTTTTTACCTGGTACTTGGAGTGTGTTTTCACTTCTTCAAATCAATTGAGCATTTTAGAAACTTAGTACTAATGAAGTCTAATTGAGTTAAGAGGAAAGTTTTTCCAGACTAGTATTTCTTTCAGGAGAATGCTGAAAAACTTCAGTCTGCACTCCAGCTAAAATTAGAAGAAAGAAGAGGCCCATTTTTCATTCAGTACTCCTTTTGGATATAAAAAACAGGCAGCTGTGTTCTAAGAACAGTAGGAGATGACAATGAAGTCCCAAATTGACAAGCAGATTTAAACTTTTCCAGGCTTCTTTGCAAGTCTGTATTTAAACCAAATGCAGTCACCACTCTTACTAGCCTGGTTAGTCCCCTCTAGCTTGTTTTTACTATTGTTCTCTAACCATGCACATGAAAACAATGATACTTGATTGTCTCAGGGATGATGAGTCTGTCTCTACAGAATGGTGTATCTAAAAGAATTATTCTGTTTAATTGGAGAGTGTCTAGAATTTATTTCCAGCCTTTTTTTCTGCTCCATATGGAATCTCTTCTCATCTCTGGTGCAGCTCTTGTGATGTTGGTCTTCTCAATATGAATCAGATTACAAACAATGAATTTTGCTTTCTATATTTTTTCTGCCTACTTTATGTGGCCAAAATGTAATTCCTTTTTACCACTTCATTTTCCCCATCACTACCCTTCCAGCAGCTAATAGTTTCTTCTAGTTCTTCATGTCCCCTTTTTTTTTGGTCTTAATTTAATTTTATGGCTCAGCAGACAAGATGAAAAAATACTGAGAAGAAATTAGTTTGGATTGCAGTGCATATAAAACTTTTCTTTTTCTATTGAATTGTGAAAACTTTTTTTTTTCATTTAATATGGACATTTGAAGTCTATCTCCATAAGATAAAAAATGTGAAGGAGATACATGTGCAGAGTTGCTGGTAGGAGAGCATTTGGATGTAGAAGATTGAGTTTTATTTGCTGCCTGGAATGTGGATTCCCATATTTCTTCTGTCATAGAAGGCTTAATATTGGTTTCAGGAGGAAGCTCTATCAAATTATTTCCTGCTTAGTTTCATATAAAAAAAGAATTACTAGAAAAGGAGTTAGACTAGGTTTTCTGCTCTGTAGTAAAGCATTCAGACCACCACAAGATTACAGGCATTTGAACTCTCTCATTAAATTATTGTATTTTCTACAAAGCAGAATGACAAGGAACAAAGAGACTCATCTCAAATATTTGAAGCCAGAGAAATACTCATGAGTTTGTGAACTCTTAGTTCAGATGGCATTTCTTTGCATAAAAAGGTACAGCATGTGGTGTTGCTGATGGTTTTCATTCTCCCTTCTAGTTAACTACAGAGTAGAAAAAAGCAGGAGGATTAATACAAACTACTGAACTTTTGCTGCCTTTTTGCTTGCTGAGTTTAATTAAAAGAGGTAGAACTTCCCTGTAATCTTGATTGGAGCTACTTGCATTCTGCCTGGGTTAAAGTATGTATTATTAAACCAAAATATTCTACAGCAGGTTGGTCTTTGTAATCTTGACATTATTTTGGCAAGTCAGTTGTAGACTTTGACTTGATAACTCTGCTATGCTTCAAATGTTTTGTTTTGGTAATGTAAAAAGCTCTAACCACTATATTTGTTCCCATTATGTTTCCTGAAATCTTGGATATGATCTCATTTACTTCTGCAGTTGAGTTTGCTCATCTTTTTTTTTTCCTTCTTTTTTTTTTCTATTATGGTGCTTGCCATCTTAAAATAACAATCAAAACATCTTTGACCACCCACCCATCTCTAAATTCATGTAGAGCTACTTATAGTTCAATCTCCCCCCATTTAGTATCTCTCAACATGTTTTAAATTTAACTGTAACTGCATGGCTTTCTTAATTGCCTTTATTTATAAATGGCATTCTGCACCATCAAGCATATTATTAATTAAAATGTGTTTTTTCTTATTTGATGCAAGAGTTCACAAAAACTGATTTTCTTCTATGCTCTTATGTTATTCCTTAAGTATATCCTTGTCACACTCTGTCCTCTCTTATCTCAACCAATATAAGTATTCTTGTATTTGCCTGTTACTTTTTTTTTCACTATGGTAATATTTTGGAAAGAATTTCGTGACCAATGGTGACTCATAAACTGTTTCCAGGGCTAAATTCATGGAGTATTTCACCTTCTGTTCTAGTTAGTCTCTGTTGCTAAGCACTGAAATATCTTTTTTTAAAACCTTTGTAGTCATCTATCTGTTGGAAAACTGGTTAATTACCTACTGTCTTTTAGAAAGAGTTATTTGAAAATGATTTACAATTTGTTTTGGTTTTTTATCTCCTATTAGTACATGTTTCCTGATGGGGCCCCTGAAGCAACTGAAAACAATGTTTGATCCGAAACGATTAATAGCTACGATTGTGATGTTGGTAAATATACTATACTCCTTTCCTTGTCTTAAAAAGTTTTCCTTTAGCTTCAAAGCTAAATTTGATGCTTTTCTAAAGGAAGGTTATTTCTCAGTCTGCCTCTTCCTTCTGCAGAGAAATGACAGTCAAGCTGTTAAGCTTTGTATGTCGCAAATATCATCTAGCTCCTTTCTCTGAACATGTGTGTTTTTATTCTTTATGATTTTTTTAATTAATCATTTGAAGTAAAATATTCCTTATGAAATCTTTCTTTGTAAATGATAATGGCAGGTTAATTATTTTTAATTTATTTTCTAAAATATTTTCTTCAAGAACAAGGGGAGAGACTTTTTTTAGGTACTGTCGAAAGTCAGTGGCTACCAAGTGTAGCTTGACAGTTGTTTTTTGGCTGCAGCTGGTCTGTAAAGGTCACTGGTTCAGCACTTTCAAAGCAATGGAGAAAATTAATTATTTCCCCAAAGTCTGGGAGGCCACATGTTCAGCTTTGAGATTCTCCATTGTGACATCCCTGGTGCCTTTACTTCCATGACCATCATTTCTTCTTCCAGGAGGATGGGAAAAACCTTCTCCCCAGTATCAGAATTCCTATCCCTATATTAACGATAGGAATCTCTATATTAGGTAGTTAAAATAAATTTCTCCTCTTGCTGCTTCTCTGTTTAATACTTTTCTCTCTTGCTCCTATGATTTGTTTCAACTTTGATTTTTGAAATGTAGTTGGCTTTCCTATTCTCTCTATCATATAACTTGTTTTTCTAGTTTAGTGAGTAAGAAAGTCTTCATAAGTTCTTTCTGGATGGCTGTCATATGGAGGTTGTATGTTTTTTGTCTCACACACCCACATGAAAAATAGTTATAATCTCTTTTGAGAAGCTTACATTTGCCCCTGTCTTTTGGTGAAGTCACTTGATCATTGCTTGGACTTTGCTTTGTTCTGCAGAGGTTTGTTTTGTTTTGTTTGAGTGTTCTTGTTTTGTTCTGTCACCATTTCCAACTCACACCAAGTTACAAGTCCTAGGAAGGGTATGTTTTGTAGGAGTGAATTAAAAACGTCCAAGAATATTTCCAGTTCTGCTAGAGTCTGTGTTTGCTGAGCATAAATTCTTTAACATTTTACAGCTGTGGGCTTTTTCCAATGAAGCTGAGAGCCTAGGCCAGACTCGTAGAACAGCAGGCACAAAAATAATTTTGCTCTGATGATCCTGTCATCCACTGTGCTCAGACATGGTGACAAAGGGAATAATTTTGAAGGCTGTAAAAACAAAACACATCAGGGAAATGGAAGGAGAGCAGAGCACACATCAGAGACCTACCTGTGCTGAGAGGCTACCAGCAAAATTGGGAAAATGAGAATGAAAGGTTTCATCTAATAGTGAGTGTGAACATTGGATGAGAGCCAAGACTTTCAGTATGGAAATTTTAGTAAAACACAGAAGAACTGGTAAATTTCAAGTTTTGAAAACTGTGGATAAATTTGACTGTTTTAATACGCATGCTAGCACAAAGCTAGAATTGTAGGCAGTTCAGGAGTCACAGATGTATTTGGAAAATTTCAAGCGTGTGTTACTTTTCTTCCTTTCAATAAACGGCCAACAAATTTTTTTTCAAGTGAAAATTGATGTGTGGTTTTGTTCTGTTTTGTTCTGTTTCATTACTGTGTGTAATGAAAAATGGAGGAAGCCAGATAAGATCTAGTGGAAAAGTTCTAAGTGATGGTTAAGCTTGCACAAATTGTATGATTATTTGGCGTAGTAAACTATATCATTGTAACGTTCCATCCTAAGTGTTTAAGTACCTCGAACAAAGCTTCATGTGAGCTTTTTCACTGTACCTGAAGCAGCTGCTCCCTAGTGGACTCTTCATTAGTGTCAGAGGATGAAAAAGCACTGGCAGATGAGGCATAGCCTGTATTTGCCAGATCCTGTAATTGAGAATGGATGTTTTTAATAAAGGGTTGTTGGTAGCGATGCACACATCTTTCTTGTCAGAGACAGGTGTTATGAATACCAGGTTCAAAATGATGCTATGTACTGGAATAAGAGAGTTGCAGTTACCAGGCTTCTTGATTCCTTTCAGTAAAGCTTTGTCATCTAAGCCCACCTCTTAATAGAACCAACAAATATGGGTGCACACACCAGCTTACACTCCTGCTGGTTCCTCAACTCAGCTCCTGCCTTGTTTTCCTTTCAGGACTTGTCTCAGCCCTTCTGGCCATGTATACCTCATACTGTGCTTTGAAAAACACCATGGAGTTCATCATATAGTCACTGTGAGACAGCCTTTGTTTCATAAGTCAATTTTAAAGTGCTGATTGCCCATTGAAAACATGGGAATGGTTACTGTACTTTCTTCATTGTGTATTTGAGTATTCATTCTTTTTTTTCTTTCTCTCCTTCTCACCCCAGCTTTGCCTAATATTGACTCTGTGTGCTGTATTCTGGGTAAGTGAGAATACTTTTTTTTCTAAAAAGCAATCTCAGTTGGTTAGTTTAATAATTGTATTGTAGCTTTAAGATACAGTTCAGGGGTGAAGGAAAGGTGAACTCGTGTGTGATGTTTTTGTTGTTGGCTGCAGTTGAGCTCAGGTGGAGTGATGAGCCTGCTGGCTGTAAAAGCAAACGCATCCTTCCACCTGCACATGATGTAGATGAGAATGCAAAATCTAGAGCATTGGGTTCAGTCTGCAAACCTCTAGAATAAAAACTAAGAAAACCAAGCTCAAATACTGTTTTGTTTCAGTGATGCAGATTTATGTCAGAAAATACCAGAAAGTGTATAGCTGTCTTCAGAAGCCATGGATACAGAATATTAAGCTGGTTAAGATAACAGAAAAAAACCAGAAGTGTCTGCAGGCATTTTGTTTGAAAACGAACTGTAGTTGCGTTCCATAGAAGTGAATATCTCACTGGAATGAACTTCCATATTTGCAGAAGTGCAGTGATGTGAGTGTTAACACTGATGTTGTTAAGTGTTTCCAAAGCTAGAAAAGGTTTACCTAGCATGGTTCTAATGGAGTGATGAATAAAATGAACGGAGAGTTGTTGGGAAAGAAACAGCAAACTAAGACAAGGAGATTTAGGCATTGTCAGTCAACTCTATTCTTGATTGATCAGTCTGTGCCAATTGTCAGTATAGACTGGTGTGGTGCAAAATGAACTAATTTGCAGTATTTGCTTTATTTTTGTTTAGTGGAACAAAAAAGGTTTGGCAATGTTATTCTGCATATTGCAGTTCTTGGCAATGACCTGGTAAGATTCTTAAAATTCCTTTGAATTTCTTCTCCCTGCCCCTACACCCTCATGATTATAAACCTATATATATATGATTCACATATAAGTATGCCCAAATGCTAGCCTCAATCTGTTTTTTCTCAGCTAGATTGTGTAACTCCAGCAAAATCTATATTCAATCGTCTTGCAAAAATGGTAATTTGAAGTATATTCTGCAATGTGTGAACTTATCTGAAGCCTTATGAAAGGAATACATATGCAAAAAAAAATTGTCCTCCTTTTTCTGCATTGTAGAAGTATACTCTCCTCTTTTTTGAATTCTAACTAGTTTTTTATTTTTGAAATGAAAGAAACTAAAAAACATTTTCATAGAGTGCGTCCTGCCCCAGGAATATACTGGGTAAAGAGTGGGTGGATGTGAGAGGGTGAATTTAGTGCAGCAGGTGCTGTGATGACCAGGAGCTTGGGGGCTGGGTTTGGCAGTGTGTGAGTGCAGTCAGGTGATTGCTTGCAAGCCTTGCAGAAGTTCTGGAAGTTACTGCCTTTTCCACAGAGATACACACTTGGTGTCCTTGTCCCAGGTGAATTTCTTGGTGTCCTTGTCCCAAATGCTCATTCTAAGGCAGCCCAAGGTGACCACAGACCACAGTTCTTGCTCGAACTTGCCCTGAGTACAGAGTCTGTACTGAATGTGGGTCTGAGGACAAGGAACCATTTGTTCAGGACAGGGCCTGCTGGGCATGGTGCTAGATAGAGGGAAGGCATCTAGCTCAGACTGTGCTCTGTGTGTTTGCAGCAGACAGTTCACATTTGTTAACTATCCTGGGGTTTGGTCAGGGGGCATCACAACACAACACTGCCTGGAGGCTTGTGAGAAACAAGTTTCAGAGAATAATAGAATTGTCAGCTGTCTGAGTGTCACAGTTGTGGAATATTATTCATCCTACAGCATGTATCTGTATTTAGTTACATAAATAATATGATTAGATGTATATTTGCACAGTAATTTAGATTGTCTTTTCAACTGGAAGAAGTTGTCTCTATCATCTTGAGCAACATTTTCACACAAATTTTATATCCCTTTTTGATTTGGCAATAGTAAATCTGTTTTTTAAGTTCATGTGCAATGGAAGTTATGAACTACATTAAAATAAAGACAAAAACCCAGCCAAAGAAAAAGTAAACCACCAAATCCATGTCACTGTTTAATTCTTGTCCAAACATGTCCTCTTTTTTCAGGTAAGCATTACATTGAATAAGTCATCTTGTTTAAAATTTTGTTACAACAGTTGCTTTTATTAATGCTGGCCTAAAGTGAAATAATTTGGTTCTAGGAGAGAAATGAGCAGTCTGCAAATGTACTTTTCTTCTCTTTTTTTTCAGGTATAGTCTGTCTTATATTCCTTTTGCAAGGTGAGTCTGCATGATAATTTCCATCTTAACAAAAGTCAGTTACCTTTACGCTGGGGAAAGGCATAACGTATGCCTTATGTGTGTGTAAAAATATAACATCTTCCTTTTTGTTTTAGTTTTTAGAAAAAACTAAAAGAATAGGCATAGCTGAACTTAAAAGTCATGCTTAATATAAGCTTTAAATAGAAGTACAATACATAGTAATTCTCTTTAATAAATTTCTCTCTAATTTCCACCACTGAAAATGAATCAAGGTGTTATTTAAATAATGTCTCTAATGATTTAGGAATACAGTGATGCAATGGTGACTTTCCTGGTACTAAAATTGAAGGTAACCTCGGGATCTGAGATCCTGGTTAAAAGCAAACAAGCAACATAGTGGCAGCTTCTGTTTCTATTTCTGAATTCCTCCATAATTTTTAGGAGGGGCAAAGGCCCTCCTAAAATAAATGCTGTATTTTCATTTTGGCAAGCTCCTCTCTTTCATTCTGGTGTGTACAAAAAGGGAATGAAAGCAGACCAAACACAGTGAAAACACATGCAAGTAATCAAATGTAAGAATCTCTTTTTTCTATGATTCATGTAAAATGCAGTTTGGTCTTCTTGACAGTGGGTTTTTTTAAAAAATTAAGCACTTCCATATAATTTAATGAGGCTTGCTGTTGTAGAGGTGTGGGGGAAAAGAATACAAAGTATTGTCTGTCCCTTTCATCTGGTATTTTCCCATAGCATCACCAAAAAAATTCTTTTAAAGTTTTTTAAAGCTTCAGATTTCATCTAGGAAGGATTTTTTAAAGACAGTTGTTGTTAATTACAGTGAATAAAATAACTGAGCTCCGGCTTCAAACTGTCATTTTACTATTTCTGACAATTCAGATTAACCCAGACAAAAGTAGTGTTCTGAATTCTTATAGGTCCAGTGGCCATGAGACAGTCTCAGTAGGTTCATTCTTTTTTTTTGTTTTTTTTTTTTTTTCTTTTTTTATGGCTTTCTCTGTAGAGGAAGCAAGTTGAGCTTCAGGGCTCTCTGACTTTTTCTTCCCTATCAACAGTACTTCTGAGTTCTGGGCAGAAAAACATTAGGTTATATGCATCAGTTAATTTCTTTGGATTTATTTATCTATTAGATTTTATGAGCCAAAGAACTGAATTTTATAGAGACTGCTTTTAGTAATACTGTGATTTCTTTAGGGATTACTGAGTTATTTGCTTATGTGGAGTGATATGATAAATTTATTATATAGACTGCCTTTCTTATGGGAACAATGATCTAAACCATGCTAAGTGCCAGAGAATAGTATTGTGTCATTTGTTTAAAGTATGTATTTCTCTTGATTTCATGAAATTATCATTCCTTGGTTTAACTCTTTTCATGGTTTTCTCTTCAGAACATTTTACTTGTTCACGGGTTTGTTGGGGTGGGGGTTGTTGGTTTCTGTTTGTTTCTTCCTAAATTAATGCTTGCTCTCCTGTTGGCCTGGCAACAAAAAGCCCCACCAAACCAAACCAAATGAAAACAACAACAATTCAACAAAACCAAAACCCATATAGCTAAGTGACTTTAAAGAGTGATGATGGTATGTTTCTTTATTTTTTTTGAAACTGACTAGCAACAGAATAAAAATTCCACTCCTTATTAAGTTGGTTACTTTTCTGGGAAAAGGAAAAATAATGGAGACTAAAGGGAATGATTTGATTGTAACAGTCAGAAAACAGTTTATTGTTGACTGAAAAAATGGAACCCTTCAGAACTTCCCTACCTTAAGGCTGAACCAACTCTCTCCATCCTGCACTGCATAATTCCAGCCCTTCAGGCTGTGCTTTATTTCCTGCACTGTGACGGTCCAGCCCCGCTGTGGCTTGCAGCCCTGGCAGCTGTGCCCTGCTGGGGACTGGGCGCTCCTCAGCTGAGCCCTTGCTGGCAGCCTTTGTGAAATCAGGCTCTGCCCTTTGCTCAGCCTCCCAGAGAGCTGCAGAGCACCTCCCAGCACTGTGCTGCATTTCAGCATGGCCTGCAGTGCAAACAGCACAGAAACCCTGGCACCGACCTGGCCTGAGCCTGGCCTTTAGCTGGGGTGGTGGAGTCACTCACACACAGATCCTGCATTTGATCAGCTCTTGATATGTCTTTAGTTTTTGCCATATTGTAATTTTAAATAGGTAATGGCTTAGATGTTTATAAGCAAAATAACAAATCCTAACTGACTTTTTTTTTCTTTTTTAAAGGGATGCTGTGATTAAATGCTTCTCATCCTGTCTAGGGTAAATTAAAACCAGGAACCACTGTCCGCTTTAAAAGGCAACTTTTTTTCTCTGTAAATTTTACTCAAAAATCTCTACTTTGCCGCTTCTGAAGTACCCAGTAGCAGTTTTTTTCCTTGCCTTTTGCACTTGGGAGATTAAATAATTTTTACTAGAAACAGTTTTTTAAATAAATTTAAACCAGAATTATTTGTGTTTACCTTGAAACTTCCAGGCTTTTTTCTAACAAGAAAGTACATTTAAATACTTTATACAGAGTGGTCTTAACACTACTTTGTATCCAGTAACAGTTTATTCCCCAGTGGAGGCAAGTCACTAAGGCCTGGGTAGTGTGCATAAAGGTTTCATTTATAGTTCTGTCTAAAACTTGCAATGTGCCATTTATGTTTGTATATTATCCATTGTATGCTTTTCCAAAGACAGAGTTTTATAAACATTGTAAAGATTTGGAAGGTTTGTAATTAACTGCTCCTTTGAAATGTCTATACATGTGCCTTATGGAAAAAACTTACTGAGAATGTGAAAGGAATGTTTAAAACCTGTTGGATTTTATTAAAAAAGTTGTATTTTAAATGTTTTTTTTTTAAATTTCATACCTAAATACTTTTTACTACAAGAACTTATGACTAATGTATAAATGGGACTTGTGAAATAAATTCATTTTAAAAGTGCCTTATACATTATTATTTAGGAATCAGCTATAGAGGGCTGAAAATTTCAGCATTACTCTTGAATAAAAATAAAAATATAAATGTTTGTATATGACTATATCCAAATTTGTTTGATAGATTTTCAGAAGTGACCTTAAAGCTTCTTTTAGTATTTAGACAGACTGTTCATTCTGACTTAATCTGGTAATAGATTGACGTACTGTAACACTTTGCCTGGCTTCAGTAAGAGATTCTCATTTCTGATTTTTTCAGCTACGAACTCTCCAGTTATTCTGGAGCAAAGTTAAATCTTTAATGTTTGGTTGATATTATATTGCAGGAGGTTCTTTTTTGCACAGGATGGATATGCTTATATATGTGTGTTCAAAACTGAGTTGGTTTAGATTTTTTCTTCTGTTCATCCACAAATCTAGAAGAAGGAATTGCTTTGAAAAGATGTGATCTGCAGTGTCAGGAAGGAGAAAACCTCAGTGTTTTTAGTATTCAAAGTTCAGGCTAAAGAGACAAATTGAGGTACAGTATCTTCCTGTTGAGTATCAGTGCATGTTGCAAAACATAGCTACAACTTTTGGGGAAGCTGTGTACAGGGTGATTGCATTACTTTGCAGCTAGACTTCCAACTAAGCCACGCCCTTTAAACTGGTTAGTGACAATAAATTGCCAGGGAGGCATCGTCCCTGCTGGTGATAGCCAGGGGCAGGTAGTCCTGGCCTCACAGCAGGGCTTGCTAGAGCTGTGTGATGTAGGGACAGCTATTCCAACTCTGCCCACGGCCCTTGGGTGAATTTTTGGCTCCGTTTAGTTTTCAGCTTGCATTGAAGAGGAAGCAGGATGTGCGTGGGCAGTGATGGACATCATCCTGGAAGTGACTGCCCCTTCCCCAGTCGCTGCTGCTGACCTCAGCTGACTGGAAAGATCCCGTCCCATCCTGTCCCATCCTGTCTCTTGTGCTAGGCTTTCATTTGCTCCAGAGCTGGTTTTGCCCATCACCCACCAGTTCTGGTGGTACACAATCACCTTCACTGTAGTCTTTAATTAGAGTTACATTGGTTATTCAAAATTTATTTATTTATTTATCCACTGTGGTAAATGATGAAGTTGCCATTCATCTGTTAATGTTTAGATCAGCAGGAGAGAGTGGGTTCAAGAACCAAAATCTCCATGTACTGGTATGCTTCCACATGCACTTTGGTCTGTTAGTTACATCATGTGCCTTCCTTGGTTTTTTTTCTCTCCTGAACGTTTAAGGGTTTACTTCCTCCATCTGCATACAGAGCACTCTCTCTGTGTTGGTTTGCCTGTATCTTTTGCTCCTTCACATCCTGTCTTTGTTTACTGTGTATGAGTATTCCAAGAGCTCACAGTTGGGGAATCTTCACAGTATAGTAATAACCATTATGATAGTGTGGAAGCATAGGTGTGAAGATCTGTCCCTGTGGATTGCATACATGCCCCCCTTTTTTTGATAAACTTTTGCTACCCTAATTCAAACAATGCTTTGAAATAAATGCTGTAGAAATTATATGCCATGACTTCTAAGGCTAAATTTTGGAGTGGTGGTAATCATCTTGGATCCATAGGAAATGTTTGTTTACTTATTACTGCACCATGAAACTTCTCCAAACCTCTGTTGGACAGCAACTTCCTATCTTTTGAAAAGATAGGAAGTTGCTGTCTTGGATATCACAAAAACCCAAACCAAACCCCAAACAAACAACAAACCTCCAACAGAGAGATGAGCATTAGCTCTGTGACAGAAGGCGTTGACGCTAGAAGGATCTCTGGACTGTACTCTTCATACCAAACCAGGCAGCGCTTGTCCACTGAATCCGAGGCAGCCAGCCCTAGGTCTGAGTGTGTCTGTCTCTTGGCCTGTCTGCCTGCCCTTATTCATAATACTTCAAGTAATCAAGGAAAACAAAGTATCATTCTTGGGTGTAAGACGGCAAGAGAATTTAACGTGATTTTAAAATACTGCCTTTTCATGTTTGGACGCTTGAGGACTTGGGGAGAAATTTAGAGCCTTTTTGCCCTCGGGGCGTGAGCCCTGCCATCCACTTCTTTATTTCGGCTCTGCTGTAGAGCGGGCGGGAGAGGACTGGGAAAAGGCGCCGGAGTAGCGCCGCACGGAGCCCGACCAGTGCGGCTCGTTCGGGAGCGCGGCCAGTGCCGGCACGACCCCCGTCCCCGCCCGCACGCCCACCCCGCGCTGGGGAAGGGTGTTCCCGGGGCGGGCGAAGGGCGGGAAGGGGGACGGGTTATCGAGAGGGAAAATCGGCGGCTGTCGGCGCAGAGCGAGCTCGCATTCCGCGCCGGCAGCTCGGGCTCCTCGTCCGCCCGTGGCCATGGGGCTCCAGCCCCGGCGCGCCGCGGGGCCCTGCCCGCCCGCGGGAAGGAGCGCCGCCCTGCCCGGAGCGCGCTCCTCTCCTCCCTGGGCCCGCAGCGACGAGCCGGAGGGAACTCCCGGGCGGCCCGCCGCGCTGCCGCCCCTGCTGCCGGCCATCCTGCCGACCCCCTCCGCTTCCCCCGCTGCCGCCCGGGCGCAGCCCAAGAAGCCGCCGGCGGCCGCCTCGGCCCCCAAGAAAGCAGCACCTCGGCCCGCAGAGGAGAAGGCAGCGAGGAAAGCGCGGGGGGCGCCCCCGGAGCGGCCGGGCCCCCTTTCCAGCTCCTGGCCCTGCTCCTCCCTGCAGCGGCCGCCTCCGCGGAGACCGCCGGCCGAGCGGGCGGCGCGGCCCCAGCCCCCCCCGCCGCAGCCGCGGGGCCGCCCGGGGGTGCCGGGGGCGGGCAGCCGCTCCTGCGAGAGCCTCGGCGGGGCGCCGGGCGAGGCGGCGGGGCGCTTCTCGCTGAGCCTGCCCCCGGAGGCCATCCGGGTGCTGCAGCGCCGCAGCCTGGAGCGGCAGCGGGGGCAGCCCGCACCCTCTCCCGCCGGCAGAGCCGCCCCGGCCCGGCGCGGCGACCTGCGCGCTCTGCTGAAGGTTTCGCTGCTCAACGACCGGCACCGCTACGACGACGAGGAGTACGAGGAGGAGGAGGCGGGGGCCGCCGCGGACGAGGGGCTGGTGCGGAAATGCACCGAGTGGCTGCGCGGCGTGGAGAGCGCGGCCGGGCGCGACCACCCCGAGCGGCTGGAGACGCTGCCGCACCTGGGCACCCTCTGAGCCCCGCCGGGACCGGGGAGCGGCGCGGCCGGCGGGGGCCGCCCGAGCGGTCGGACCGGGGGGAGCTGGGGCCGCCATCCGCGATGTCGTGTTCCGTGTTGTGTTGTCGGCGCCCTGGCAGCGCGGGCGGGTGGCGGCAGGGGCCGGGCAGCGGAGCCCCTGGCCCGGAGCCGATCCTCGGGGCGCCGCCGCCGCCGGGGCGAGGGACAAAGGAGCGGCGCCGGCCCCCGCCCGCCGGTGCCCGGGTGCTGGGAGGGAGGGCACCGGCTGTGGCCGTCCTGCCTCCACCCTCGCGGGTTTTTTAAAGATTTCTGACTACTTTATAAAATGTGCGTAATGGTTTTGTATATTTGTACATAAAAGTTCATTTTTATTTATTTGAATAAAGGACTCTTGTGTTGCGGTAGCCTTCGCGCCTTGGTGGCTTGGCGTTGGGCTGCCCCAGCCTGGCGGTACCCGCTGTCTCGGTGTCCCTAAGGTAAGGATGGCGGGCTGGTCGCCCCGTGCCCTTCCCACGTTTGCTCCTCGGAAGAGCCGCTGGCAGCTCGGCTCCAGGGATAACGCAGAGCCGCGGATCCGGCGCGGTGGCGGAGGCAGGGACCGAGCAGGCGGGGGCGAGCCCGGCGCTGCTGGGGCAGATGGCAGCAGCTCCGCTCCCGGGGAGAGGCAGGGACCGCGGGAGGAGGATGGGGAGGTGCGGGCGGCCGCGGCGTGGGCAGAGCTCCGGTTCCCTGCGCCGGCGAACCGGAGAGGAGCGGCTGGGGTTGTGCATGGACTTGGCCATTTCATCCCCTCCCAGACAGTAATTCAGATGCATCCGACCTTTCGAGCCGCTGCCAATGTACGAGGTGGAATAGGAAGGAAGGAGGGAGGGAGGGAGAGAGGGAGGGAGCACAGAGGCAGCATCCTTTGTCAGCGTCCCTCGGCTTCCCATCCCTGGAGGCCACTGCAACCTTCCCCCCTCCGGGCTATGGCCATGCCTGGTGCTCTTCCGAGCTCTGTGTGTTGGGAGAGGCGAGGAGGGGGCTGGGAAGCCAAATGTACAGAAATTATGGGCGGAAAGGGAAGGGTAAGTCTTTACCAGGCTTACAGTGTCTCGGCCACCTACTGTTGCTCTTTTATTGTTGTTCTCCAGCTTCCCAGAACAACAGTCAGACCTGAGCATTTACTTTGATTCTATAAGTATTTTGCAAATGAATGTTTGAACATATGGGAACACGTTCAGCTGAATTTATTTAGCGGAGTAAAACAAAGTTTAGTGCCACAAATTGGGTATTATAAATTTCACTAAGACATCAGTTATTTACAGCAAATGAATGTCTGTGCTGACTTCCATTAAATCATGTCAGATAAACCTTTCTGTTGTGCAACATTAGTTGCACAATGTAGCCATGTGCTGCATTTTGTTTTGCTCCATGTTTGTTCAAGCACTTTTTTCTTTTTTTCCACCTGAAACTTAAGGAATGACTGATGAGATGGTTTGAGAAAATAAATACTTATTAAATGCATTGATACTGCCATTAAAAAAAAATGAACCAATATAAGGCAATTGTGAAATAGCTATGTTCAAAGGGCAGAGACAAAAGCATGGGCATGAAAATTTATGGAGACTAATTCTATTTCATTTAAGCAAATGTAGAGTCATTTGTAGTGATAGCTATGAAACACATGCATTTTCATATCATTTTAGTTGAGTTTGCATGTAGTTCTGTCATGTTACCAGTCTTCATTAACATCTCCAAGTCAATCTGCCTCAACAATTGCAAATTTCATGTCAAATTTAATACATGCTGGATTGATGTCAGAACCACTTTTTGTTGTCGTTTTTCCCTCTTCTAACAATGATGGAAATGCTAGTAGTTGAGCTATTAGCTGAGTTTTCCTTTTGTTTCACTTTTGGGAATGTGAGTTTATAAATGAGCATCCTGGACTCCTAATGTTGTTCCTTAAACTGCTCCATGGTTTCATATTAACTCCAATCAATATCCCCAGTTGCAATGAAATGTGATTCACTCATTAAGGACTGAAGTATGTTAAGCCTACTTGTGAGGCTGAAAGCTGCTTTGTTCAGAATCTGAAGTGTGGCAAAAAATTCAATAAATTTGAATGCACAGCTGCACAAATGCAGTGTGAACTGGGGGTAAGAGGGGCTGGAACTGAAGGGCTGCCAGCTCTGAAAAAGAAAGAACCTGCTCCTAGAATGAAGAATTTGAGAACTGATCACTCTTCCTTTCCTTGATGAGGGGGCAAAAACCTTATGAAGTGTTGAGAACCAAAGCTCCCTATCCCACTGATCCCCAGTCAGCCTCAGCCTTCCTCCATCTCTCACACACATGGGTTCAGGACAGGCTGTGGTTGGCATGACTGGAAAATTCAAGTGGGATACTGTGAAACAGCACCTGTTCTGCCCCTCTGCTGCACTGTGCTCAGTCAGGGTGAGAGAGCTTTCCCTGGACACATAAGGACACTGCCAGCTCCCCCCAGTTCTCAGCCCATGGAGCTGCAGCCCAGTGTAAGTATTGCTGTAAGAACCCTTCTGCTTCTGTACTGGTGAGCAGACCAGGTGTCTTCAGGAACACTTTTCAGGTGGCACAGGTCTGATTTTGTCATAAGGACCAAGAAGCAGCCTGGAACTCGCTACATCTGCTTTTTAGCATTTGTATATTAGCCATCTTCAAATTGCCTCAGCCTAAGCCTCCCACTCATAACCCTTTTAGCTGTTGGGAGTTAGGAGCAGCTGGTGCTGTGAACGCTTAAAATAATCAATAATTCCTTTGGGGTAGATAGCTTCTTCCTCCAAACATATCAGCATGATTTACAGTGGAAAAACACCCCAAAACAACACTTATTCTGGGTATTTTTTTTAAGGTAGCTAATAAATAGTATTGCCTTCCTGCTGCTCCTGAGCAAGGCTGAGAGGCCAGACACAGGTGAAGCCCTTGTTTTTCTAACTCAACAACCTCAGCCCTGTGCATTGCTGAGTTCGCTCTTGGGTTCTAGTCCAACTCTCAGCTTTCTCACTTCACTGATACAATAGGTACCTTTTTTTTCAATTTCAAAGCTAAGGGGGAGCATGCCCAGCTTTTTGCCCAGCTTTTATTTTCTTTTGCGATCTTCCTCACCAGCATGCTTGTGAGGCCCTGACAAGCAGTATTCCCTGAGCTGTTGTCAAACATCTCCATTATCTCACGCCATTTCCAGCTGTGCCTAAGGGATCTCACACACAGCTGAGTGAGGGCATCAGTCTGGGGGCTGCTGTCCTGAGAGGACCAGTGGTGGTGTCTGTCTCGACCACAACTGTCCTTTTGGTTGGGGGGGCTCATTCCTTGGTTTTGTGGGTGTTTTTTTGTGAGGTAAAGGCACATTCTGTTTTTTTCTTAAGAAAAGCCTCTTCCCATTGATGGTTTTGTGAAGAGAGGAAGAGATTTCTGCAAAGTTTTGGCTATGGCACTTTGTGGAAGAGTAGTCACCATCATTTTGCAATGACCAGGTGTGGCAGTGTGTGAGCTCCTGGCTGGCACTGCTGCAAGGAAGGGAGCCCAAAGCAGTGCCCAGTCACTACCAGAACCAAATGTTACTGCCGTTCATTGCCTTCAAGAAAGATGTGAATGTTTCTTTTCCCTTCCCAGGGAGGAAAATCTCCAGCAACAGTCTCTGGAAGTAGTGCTGGCAATTTGGTATTCACAGGTGCTCTTGCTTCTTCTGAGAGCATGGGGAAAATGCTGTGAGCCTCAGTGAATGAATGCCTGCAGCTGATGGGCCTAGCCTGGATCTCACCCTGCTGCAGCACCAAGCCAGCACATGGATGGGCTAAGCGTTAGGAGCCACTTCCAGAGAGAGGAGCTGGCGCCCAGTGACAACAGTAAGTTGAGGATATAGGATATTGATTATGGGATGACATCTTTTAGTCCTTTTAAATTTTATTTAAGGAGTGTTACAGGTTATGTTTAAATTACATTCTTTTAGAGCAATGTTTTTTCCCTTTCTTTACAAAATAAAATGAGGTATTGAGAGTTCTAGAATGGCTTAAAGATTTCTTGGTTTGTTTTTATTTTTTATAAAATTAGAAATATAAAAAAAAACATGCAGTCTGTGTTTTGCAGTCAGCTGTCTTGAGTGTCCTGGTTTTGGTTGAGATAGAGTTATTTTCTTCTCAGTGCTGTGTTTTGATTCAGCATGAGAATAATGTTGATAACACACTTATTGGTTTTTGCTAAGTTGTGTTCATCCTAAGTCAAGGATTATTTTTGTGTCTTATGTTGTGCCAGTGAGGAGACACACAAAAGGAAAACTGGGAAGGGACATTGCTGGGAGCAGTGACCCAAACGGGCCAAAGGGATGTTTTCATACCCTAAAACATCATGCCCAGTATATAACTGGGGGAGTTACCTGGAAGGAGAGTGGATCTGGGTTTGGGGATGGAGTCTGGCATCGGTCAGTGCGTGTGAGCAATTGCATGGTGCATCACTTGTTTGGTTTGGTTTGGTTTTGTTACCATTATTGCTATATTTTTTAAATTAAAAAAAAAGTTAGTTATTTAACTCTTCCTATATCAACCTACAAGTTCTGCTGTTGGTTGTCCTCCCTACTGCACTGGTGGGTGAGTGGCTGTTGTGGTGCTTAATTGCCAGCTGCAGGACAGTGACAATAGGCCATTCTTGTTGTGAGGGCTCACATTCTGGGTGGAAGTGCTAGGTGTGATAAAAACTCTAAGAATTACTTCTATGCCAAAGAAGAATTACTTCTACCAAATTAGTTTTGCCTTTTAGATAAATGAACTCTTCAGAGATGGTCAACTGATGTTCAACTCTCAGCATTCTGACTAACAGGAATGTAATGCTTCCATTATTTTTCATGTTGCCATCACAGTTCTGAGTGCTGGTAGAAGCTGAATTTTGAACGAAAAGGAAAGAAAGGTTCCTAAGCAAACATAAAAATAAATTAGCACTGAAGCTGTTACCTTCTTATCAATTAGCAAAGGAGAGAGCAAATTATAGTAAATTCTGGTATTCCAAATCCACCAGCATAGTGCCAGCAGCCAGGCAGGTGCGTCACACAGTGAGGGGCTGGGGAATGAATCACAGCGCTCACTTTGCCAGGGAGTTTTCAGAATAGCAAAACCCGAGTGGGAACAGCGCTAAGCGACCGAACTCCAAATGCTTTAGATTAAAACGAGCAGAGGCTGTTTAGGACTAGGACAGAAATAGGAGCAAATAAAAGCAAAATTCTGCAGAAGAGGCTCTGGGTGCGTGAAGCACCTGAGAGCAATTGCAAACGCAAAAGGTAAGTCTCAGTAAGAACCCGTGGCTTTAATTTTCTCTCTGGTTTTTCTTTTGCGAGTAGTTTCTACAATCCATGTAGTAATTACGGCTCTGTTCTCTGAAAGTGTTTTGCTTACTGCCTAGT